TCCCCTCCTTCGCCCTCTCCTCCTTCCCCCTCGCCTCCTTCCCCCTCGCCTCCATCTCCCTCCCCTCCTTCCCCCTCGCCTCCTTCCCCCTCGGCTCCTTCCCCCTCGCCTCCATCTCCCTCGCCTCCTTCCCCCTCGCCTCCTTCCCCCTCGCCTCCGTCGCCTTCCCCTCCTTCGCCCTCGCCTCCGTCTCCCCCTGATGTCCCTCCATGTAGCACATGCCTTGACTTAGAAGTGAAGGTATCCAGCGCCCCGTTCAGCTTCTTCACAATCGACAGCGACAAATGCCAGGCTGTTCAGGCTCAGATCGCATCCGACTTTGTCAGCCAGATAGCATTCATGGGCCTTCCGCCCATGGTAGTCAACTTTACAGTGGATCCTACCCGCTGCCAGCCTACCAAAGTCAGCGTCTGCGGTTCGTTCGTTTCCGAGGAGGAAGCCAGGAAGCTGGAGCCCTGGGCCGCCCTCCAGAGCCCGTTATGGTTGGACAGCCTGGTCGGCCAGTGCAATGCAGTGAACTCTGGGCTCAGCTTCCTCTTGCGGAGTGAGACGGATGACTGCCTGAAAGTGATTACGGAAAAAACGGACTGCAAGGACACCGTGAATGTCACCTTCCCGCCTTGCAAGTACGTATGCCGTATACGTACACAGGACTTCTCAGAAACCATGGCATGCACTGCTCGGAGTGAGCGACGCTATACTGTACCCTGACTGCCTTGGAGTTTGACAGGCATTCTGTTATTGGATTAAAAGATTTATGTCTTCTCTTCGCGCACAGGTGCGATAACCGGAAGTACGCTACGCCCTTCTACGTGGTTCCCACACCGGCGACACAAGAGCCAGGTCGCGACCCGTGGACCAACTTGTACTGCTTCAAGACGAAGGTCGCCCCCAAGGAATCTGTTATCGCGGTGAGGTCTGAGGCCTTAACCCCCCGGGCCCCTGCGTTACCGTGGCCCGGGGGTTGTGGGTTTCCGTGTCCTTTCTTAAGCACCTTCCGCGCATTAGCAAGCGATTTATGCTGCATCGGTGTACTCCTTCCTCTGCCACAAGCCGCGTGCCGTGTATGCTTGTAGGGCCCATGCAACAGCAGCTCGACTCTCCATAAGGCAGAGATTTGGGCCGGTAAGTAGTTTGAGGCTGCGTGGGCGTTGGCGGGTGCAGGGAGCTTGGTGGCTGTCACGTCAGGTCTTAGCCTAGCACTGTCTATGCCCCTTTACGGACAGTGCTACATGCACGACATTAGTCGGCCGCTGCGAGTCAATCCACCCATACATACTGTTGAGTGTGTCGTATCTCCCTTGCCTTGCTTGCAGATATGTCTCTTCGGCGCCAAGTCCGCGGCTTCCGGCTGACTCCTTCCGGCGGCACTCCCCGTTGGGCATCCACATCGTGGGGGCCTTCGGGGGCCAACCAGCTCAAAGGTGACTGAGCGTGTGTCTAGGCTTACATACAGGCGCGTGTGGCATTCGCGGATGATGTGCGCGTAGTAATAATTGCATAGAGTGCACATTGGGAATGTGCATTTGAGGGCTCGTTAGGCGACGACGTAACAGAACTGACATCGTGGCCCCAAACCCCACCACCTTTGAACGTCGTGCATGCAGCGACAAACATCAACTGGAGCTCGTCTGCGGCGCAAGGCGGCGAGATTTGCATTGAGCTGAAGAACACCACGACGCTGTCACAGCTGTGCCTGGGCGATCGACCAAACAATGCGTGGTGAGCGAGCCAGGGCCCCCTTGCGGCGTGTGATTGTATTGTCATGTCATGTGTAGCGTGGTTTTAAAGACCCATGCGCCATGCGTTGCGAGGAGTGAGTCCGTTCTTTGGTGGTTAGGTAAATAATTGGGGGCGCGCGCAGGCTACACGCACACACTTTAGCTTATGCAAATAATTGCTTCTGCGCCATGCTATCGGTTCACCGCCTCACCCTGTTGACCCCCATTCAAGTTTTGTGCATATGTACATGTACATGTACATCGGCGCATAGCATACATGTATAAATAGTTATTATGAGCCACGTCTGCTGACTCACGGTTACGTATGCGTGATACCTGCTGACACATTCCCTCGCATCCCTTTCTTGTCCCGCACGCACTCGTGTGGATCTACACCTGCTGTCTGGACGTTCTTGTCGTGTGTCGTCGTACACGATGGCCGATGGATTGACCGTACGATGATATGCCGTACACACAGTGTAATCAGTTTGTTCAACAAGAACCGGAAGTGCTGCCCGACCTACACCGCTGCGGTATCGTAGTGCTTGGTTCCTCGCTGTGTCAAAACAGCTATCGAATAACGCGTCGGTGGACATGTGGCGGATGCATGCATGTCCTCAAAGTAGACGATGAATGACCGTCTCACAGCAGGGTTCCACGGTTTAGGTGTCTGAAGATTCTTGGAGTGATGGTATTGCGTGCGAGGTCTATTTGTTTGCAGGAATGGGTGCGATCGCAGGAGAAGTGTTTTCGTGCGTGTGTGCGTATG